CAGGAAGGCTGAAAGCAGAATGTGCACGCAGGACACGGATTCTCTCAACAAAATACAGCCCTCTTTTCCCTTCCAGAAGAATCTACATGATGTCTCATGTCTATTAATAAAAATCTATAAAAGTTTTATTTTTGTCAGTACTAAGGAACTAAGAGTCTTTTGTGTGTTTATAAGCACAAGACTCCTGCACAGAAAGGCAGTCAGTTTTAACTCCATATTCAGGAAATGATTTTTGGGTCAGGTGAGGAAAAGGAATGCTACTCCTCCTGAATGCCACTACACTGGCAGCAACAAACAGAAGAAACATACCGGCCCTAGAGGCATTTTGCTCTCTGCCTAAGGTCAATAAATCCAAGCAAGCTGATCCTGAAGAACTGCCACCTTAGTCAGATTTATGTCACCATTTATGGTAGCAACAGTCTTCACTGTGACTCCTTCCCAAAGACTACAAGGATGGGAATTGCAAGCCTTTAAACAATTTCTGTATGACAAACAAGGAAGGATCCTTGTCATATGATTAGTGCTTAAAAAGGGGGAGGGGAAACATGACGGACTAAAGTGAAACACGGGGACACTGCTAAAGGAGCTTATAAGCAGCTTCAATTTCTCAGATCGGTAACTCCCTCTAAGACTTGGTCTTGACGAGCCAGGCAAGAGTGACAATGTAAAGAGGCAGCAGGAAAGCATTCTCAAGGACCCTTCTAACATCACTTCTCACTAGTGCGGAGACATCTTCGTGACTCAAAGCAGAACCGTGCTAAAAGCTACATGGCTATGATGAAGAAAAACATTTTTTTTCTCAGTACAGACTCCTGCAGCTTTTGTCAATTCTATGCAAATGCTACATATCCCTAGATACACCCTGTTCTGAAGTAATAAAAGCAACTGAGGGCTTTGGAAAATGATTCTCAGAGGAAGAACAATACTTAAATCCCAGAAGATAAATCAGTGTAATCATAAAAGAGTAGGTAAATGAATTCTAGAAGAAAGATGATTTGAGACCATGTAATTTCTTATAACAACCTCAAACAAGTGCTTGAGAATAAAATGATGAGAGCAGACTGTGTATCAGTGTACACAGCAGATGACAGAAATAGGGACTCTGTACATGTCCTGTAACTACTGATGAAACAACAAGTTTCCCATTTCAAATACTACACCAAATCAAATATGTAACTTATCTGTATTAATAACTTTTAAGTGTATTAATAATGGTTATATATGTCACAGATTTATAAAGAAGAGGCAGTGCTATCGAATAGGCAAAGTTATGCCAGAAAGCCTGGGCAACATAGAAATAAGGAAACGAAGCAACTAATGTATCTCCTATGAATCACTGTTGTGTTCCTGAACTGGAATGTTCTGTGTAGGCAGTAACACACACCCCACCCCCACCCTCCAAACAAATAACCAAAACAAACAAAAAACCCCACACAAACACACTTTAATCTAACTTTTCCCTCCACTAAAAACACATTTGGACTATCAGTAGAAAAGAACAGTAAATGAAAAATATTTGGACTTCGTGTCAGTTACATTTTAGTTTTACATTCAGTTCTTATTACCTGTATTATACCAAGCCAGTAGGAAGTCAAATTCTAAAGGTTTCTTTTCTTTCAAGGCCCAAAGCACTCTGTTATGTTTCTTGCTGTCAGGGTGAAAGCCGGAATCAGTCAAGTCAATAGTTATAACTGCAAAAATGCACAAAAGCAATACTTACTCAATTGAAATAAATTTTCATATTAAATTAATTAAGAACTAAAAGAACACAAAGAAACCAAAGAACATTAAACTTCCTTTTCACATATATGGCATCCTTATAAAGTATTTCATTATGCAAATATGACTCCCCGTTATGTAAATAAATATTCACCTCCTGCTGTCTTTATTTTGATATAATCTGAAACTGCCTTCTAGTGACTGGAGGGACAGATTCCTTTTCTAATGGCAGTGACAGAAGTCCCAGAACAGTGCCTTAAAAATATCTTGGTAATTAGGCAAGCTATTACACTAAAAGAGCTAGAGTTTCTAACATCAAAAGCCACGTATATGGCAATGACACTTTTTCAACTGTTTTTTTCCTAGATGAATTGGTCCCAGGCTAAAAGTTACATTTATTTTTCAGACGGAAATTTCATCGTACAACTTACTTGACAAACTGAATAGTAAAATGATGTCCCATTTTGCCAAAATTCTTATTATACATAACAAGTCTCCCCTTCTAAAGCTTTTATGTAACTGCCTATCGACTACTGCAGGTTCTAATACATTTGAGATGGCATAGTATTCACGGGGTTTTTTTAATTATTAACCAAAAAAAGTTAACAGAAATCACACTCAGTATGTCTCCTCTCCAGCTGTTAAAAAATTACAACATTTTCCAAGTACTTAGTTTATGGAGACTATAATTTTAAATGTGTCAAATGTAATACAATTTCTCTCTTTCAAGCAAGCAGTCTTGGCTGAGGCATTTCACTGTTTTGTTTTTTTTTTTGTATAGCGTGCAAATTTTAAGCTCTACCTTAATTAGTTTAGTATTTTCTGATTTAAATCGGAAGGCATAGATACTGTGCAGAGTATACAAAAATTCTTGAGTCCTACATCACTCCAGTATAAACAACACAATGAAAAACCCAGAATTTAAAAATTTTATAGAATACCCAAAAGATCACATATTTGTTTCCTTATATTATTTGGAAAAAGTATTTTTTCTCTTCCTGCCTTATACCTGCCTCTGGAAAAATATGACCTAGACAACAACTAATTTTAAGGACAGGGAAGTTTCAGCATTGCTCTTTTAACATCCTAACAAGGTGCTTCACAGATCTGAAATAAGCACTGTTAATATAAATAATACTTACTATATCTCATTACTTTTTTGCCAGAATACTGAGAAGGACACCCTTGCAGTCCAAGTTCCTCATAAGTATCCTTATCCACTGACAGAATTAGTTTTCCTATAAACAAAACAAACTTTAATACAAATAATCTTCTACTTAGTTCCTTTTGAAGTCTTTCGAGAACTGCATACCTTACACAATATTAGCTTTGGATCAATGGTACTACTAATATATTCCAGACTCCTTAATTCCAGTTAAGTGGATTACCAGATTAACCCTTAAAAAAAAAGTTATAACTCAGTTACTCTTTTTTTTTTGTCAAAGAGGTCTTATGAACTAGAATGAGAAATGTGTAATATTATTCCCAAGATAGTCATAGCTGCTTAACTACACATACAAAAACAGTTCCTCCAACTCCAGTGGGACTACTCACATTGAGTAAACTATGCTTATTAGTGATGAGCAGATATGTGCTGAAACAACTCCACTTCCATATTCACAAACCAAATCTCGCAGTTGCCACTTGGTACAGAATTTCACACAACAGATCTCTACTACAGTCTTTTGATTCTACTGTACAAATAACAGGATAATACAGAATACAAACAATTAAGGCTGCTGCTGAAGATTTCAGATGGTGACATCACAGGGAAATGTAACACTGCTGCTGCATTAATTGTGCACAGCTTGTAACAACTGTATCATACTCACTCAATCACTACCAAGGATCCATTTTGCTAGAACTGCGCTAACAGAGCACGTAAAAGAATTCCTCCTCTGAAGAATCTAAATTTACCTACGCCCTGATGGGCAACTGTCATATTACAGCATCTCAGGCTAGAGGGCTGATATAATAGAAACACAAATTGGTCTATCTGACATATTGTTAAACGGAAATAAGACGACATATTTGAAGCCCAAAAGAGCTTCATTATTTTCTCTGCCTGTAAAATCCCACCTGAGATGGAACATTCTGTCATAAAACTGTGATGGAACAGCAACAGAATGTTTTAACACATCACATAATTCTCAAAGAATTAATACTGAATATTTAAGAAGTGTTCCTAAGCAGTGCCAGTAATTTTATTTTTTAGTACAAATTCTGTCTTTAAGACCAGTAGGAAACAAGAAGCTGGAATGCAGTATTTTCACAAAAACAATCCTCTGGAGCAATTGCAATTACAGCTGAAGCACTGACAATCTGATACTATACATAACTGAGGATGATTTTTTGTTTTATTTCCTTTAGATTAAATAAATTATTTAAGAGCATGAATGAAAAAAGAAGTTAAAATAAGTATTTTTCCATTTCAAACGTATTTCTAATAAAGTTGGCAAGTACAATAAGCATTAAATTTTCCATCTTGCATAATTCCAAATAAAAAAAAAGGCAACCCAAGACCATAATCAATACGTATATATTACTGAAAACAAAACATACCACTTGGTAGCAGAGCTGCAGTATTATCTTGATCAATTTTTGTGTTATAGGTAAGTGCGTAGCATGAACCTTTAATAGTAAAGCAGAAAGCCATGAGATTACAATCTCTGAAGACAGACATGACAGTATTAAAGATTTACCTCAAAATAATCAAACGTGCCAAATACCATTTGAATCACTCTAAACCCTTGTGTCTTCATCAACTAACTTTCTTCCACCTTCTCAAGCAAAATAGTGTTTTGTTATTATTTTTATAAGCCTTGGACTGGCACTGTTTTAAAGGACCTGTAATACAGATAACATTAACAATATGCTCCAACATGACAACACTTTCTTTCCACCTGTGATCTTCCCCACTCAGCAAAATGGAAACCCCCATTCTTCTCCAAACACATTTCTATTGTTAGTTCACATGAAGACAAGGTGGAAGATGCTCACAATACTAAATATATTTTGTAGCATTATCTGTCACAACCAATTTTGTTCTTAAAAATACAAGAGTCAGATCCTGTAAACTTGGTGTACAAACATCATACTGCTTCCATAAAACTACTGTCATAAAAGCTATTAATGAGACTAAAGGAAATAGAAAAAGAGTCCCACATTTAGAAAGTAATGGATCTCATTCTCCTGTTTCACCCATATGTTGTCCTCTCTCCTCTCTTTTCAGCTTAAAGTTTTTTTTCTCCCTGACAATCACCTGAAGGGCACATTTATCATGAGCCAAATGAGCAGGGCCTGCTCGACGAAAACAACATGCTCTGAGTACAGAATAGCAACTTGACCGGGCAGAGGCTACATCTTTCTCCATGTCCTCTTTGCTCTTACTGTGTAAGGACGAGCCACGGCAGCTCCATTAGCAAAAAAAACCCCCAAAACCAAACACTACCCTCCCCCTTCCTCCAAAAAGCGTATTTTTTCCTCTTTTTCTCTTGCCTGCTGTGGAACACAGCTAACACAGCTCTGTGTTAAAATACAAAGGCATCGGAAAGGGAGAAGGGAGCTGATTTCTGCAGGAATTTGCATAAAGATGAGATGTACAAGATAAACAGGTCTGAGGATACATGGAAGCCCTCTTGATAGCTGGTTTGCAGAATTAAGATGGAATAGGGAGACATGAAGAGGGAACAGTCATAGAAGTTTTGGACCCATTGTGTGTAAACAAATGCTGACAAACCACAAAGCAGAAAAAAGCAGATAAATAAATTAATACAGAATTTTCTTAGCATTTTTTCTTCCTTTCCTTTAAAATACTTTTCAGAATAAATAATAATAAATGGATTTTACTGTGTTATGAAAAATATGCACTATTACTGCATCTGTCATGTTCTGATTACCTCCTTACCTTTCTTGACAAAAGCATCAATAAATTCGTGAGCGACGAATTCATGAACTGACAAATTCCTCACCAGGTAGTACTCTCCAATATCCGCAACGGTACTTTTCAGCACTTCAGGTAATATGCCACATTCAGGGATCAAAAAAGACACCTATTAGGAACATATTTGTAACATAAATCATAACCTAAAAATCTGTTCTGGAAGAAAACCAAGAAAAAAAAAAATATTTTCAAATAAATCAGTATGTTACACCAAAATGAGATGAAGAAAAAATAATTTCAAGTTATTGTCTTCAAAATCTATCGATTTGCAAAAAGTCTCCAAGCACAGCAAAGACATTATTTGTTTTTTGCATTTTACACACTATACAATAGCATTTGAGGTGTTACATAAAGGCTTGATTTTACACGGCATGACTTAACTCACGATCTTGTTTCACGTCATTATAAATTTAGTTTAAGTCACACTGGAACATTTCCTTCAGCCCTTGCTGCAGGAAGCAGTTATAACTAAAAATGTAAACTAAGCATTTATGCAACCTCAGTGGAAATGCAAAGACCAAAGTAGAGTTTAAACTAGTTTTTGAATCAATGCATTCTCCTCTTTAGAATATTTTGGAGGTCAGGAGAGTGAACAGACTGTCAGAACAAATCTTGAAGATGGGCTTATGATTTTCAAAAAAGTCATTAGGCGTACATTAGGTTTCTAATTTAAGTTAGGAAATCAATTTTTCAAAATGGATAAGCACCTAGCTTTTCTTACTAAACTCAGCATTCAAGTCTTTTGGTGCAACTGCCTACCTTTAATTTTTCTTCTGTTTAAAACCCTTCCTGTACGTGTTTCGCAGATCAAGATAACTCTTAAGTCTGGGAGATCAGGGCAAACAAGGTTACTAATGGGCAATACCAAGCTTCCCAATAATCACGCACAGGCAGTATAAACGTTCATCCCTCTGCTCCTTCCCACACCACTCCTCCAAAAAAACCTTTTTCTGAAACAAAGGCGCTCACAGAGAACAGGTACAGATCTCCCTTTGCACCCATACACAAGAGAAGTAAACTGAGAGATGGGCTACCTGCCTGACAAGTAGGAAGCTTTCTTGTTAGCTGCTAAAAAAATTATTAAGGAAATAGCAAAAGGGTCTAACTGACAGTTGCAACAGGCAAAGAAAGGAGAACGAGCTGGCAACTACTGGCCTTTGCAACATTAAGTCGCCCAAAACAATGAAGCACTTATTAATAATGGCACGACATGGTACTTTGGCTGAAGGAGGGACGACATGAAAGAGGACTTTCAGGGTACACCTGCAGCCAGGCTTCAGCTGCACCATTCCTCAGTGCTAAGGGACCCCCTCAGTCCCTCGCTGCTTGGACTAGGAATTTGGGGGTGCCACCCCCTGTGTTACTTGCCAGGTAGCACAGAGAAAACATTGCCACCTCTTCCACCTCGTCTTTTCTAGTTCGGGTCCGCATCATCTTTCACTTTTTGAGGCGCTGCATGCTGCGCAAGACCGCCAAGCCAGCGGAAGCAAATTTTTATTATTATTCCACGCGCCTCCCACCCCCGCCCCCCGAAAGAGGCGTGCAGGCCACCTTTGACAACGATGGGGGAACCTTCCAGAAAACAACGTGGCGCGAGATGAAGCACCGGCAAAGCGTCCCGCTAACGGCCGACAGGCAGAACCACCGGGACCCTTCCGCCGGCGGTGAGGGACGCTGTGGTCTCGCCGGGCAGGCGCGGAAGGCTCCGGCCGCCTGTTGCCCCGGCAGGGCCCCG